GTTCATTGCTAGTTAAAGCAGCGGAAATCCCATGTACGCTGTTGATAGGCAGACTCGAGGGTCCCCCTCCTGCTTTTATGCAAGCGTTGGGGGGGGGGAACAGGCGCGAGGAGCCCCATCGATCCTGGGCTTTGTTCCTGGTTGTACCTGGACTCTTGATCCGTTGATTGAGAACTCGTTCCGGGTTCTTGATTGAACGATCAAGAGTTGCTTCTGGATCCTTGATCATCTGATCGAGATCCGTCCCGCACTGGTATGGCCTCGAGCTGCTTGGCAGGTCCGACTCTTTCATGCCCGACCCTCGGGGTTCATTGCCCGGCAGGCAGTGGTAATCCCCTGATACACCATTTTTGTTTTGCGATTCCTTCATAGTGCGAGATGAATGCAATATATTGTTACAAGTATCTACAGATACAGCATAAGTACAAATATCCATGTCATAGGGCGCACCATGATAAACCCCAGCCAACGAAGTAGAATTGCAAAGTCCTACGCCGGCATCTCTTTTATCTCCTCAATCTCTGTTGAGCTAGCGAGGTCTTCTTTCTTCCTCTATTTCGGCTAGAACGGCTTGGAGACAGGTCGCAAAAGTCAATGGCTTTTTCCTGGGGAACTTTAGCCACTTCGACTTGTTGGGTGGGCACTTATTGTCCCACCCCTGGTGTCCGGTGTGTCTGCACCGGAAACATCGCTTTTCTCTTTTGAGACGATCAATGTCCATAGGTTTGCCTTCACCGCCATAGGTGAATCCAGTGGTGTCCCTCCTGCCCTTCGAGCCACTCGAAGAGCCCCCCGCCGTTCCAGGCTTGGAACCAGCGGTCCCACTGGGATACTTCCTGCCTTGCACGAGATGAACTTGGTAGTTTTTGTCCATTTGTAGGACCCTGCATCTCCACTCCCAGTAGGTGGTAGGCTGCATATTGTCTCCACCCATAATGATCTCCTTGACCCTGGGTCAGATTGCGAGGGCGACGACTTCCTCCATTTCCACGTCATTGTCAAAGTGTTCTGCTTCCACGGCCAGCTGTTCGAATCTTTCAAAGAATTCGACGGCCATTTTAAACTGCATTTGTTGCAGTCTTTTCCATTGCATCTGTTTGATTTGAACCTCTGCTACCTCTCGGAAACGTGTTCGGACATTTTCCTGGAAGGTCTCCCAAGAGGGAAGGCGATGTCTTCCACTGTGTGGGTCCTTGTAGTGTCATTGCTGATGGACCCACCAGGTCATCACTTCCCCACCCAGTCAGTGGCCTGCAAAGACTACTCGACTCGGGCCATACCCATATGCTTCATTAAGTGCAAAGTATTGGGAAAAGACCTCGAAGTAGTATTCACAGTGACTGAAGAAGCAGTCTAGGTCGCTGGCCTTCCCATAGAATTTGTCAGGGACCTCTATCAATGTCAGCTTTACGTTTCCCCAGGGGTTAGGTTGTCCATCAGGGATGACCCACCCATTTGGCGGGTCAGGCGGTAGAGGGGGATTGGTAGATCGTGGTAGCAATCGGAGATTTTGATCGCTACGTGGTGATGGTGGTTGTGCTGGAGGTCGAGGTGGTATTGGTGGAGGTCCTCCTCCACTGCCCCCTCCTGGTCCTCCTGGACCACTGCCACCTCTGCCAGGAGCTGCGGGTGCTGGTCCACCTGCTTTTCCTGTCAGCACCGACTGGGAGGCTTCTCTGGCCATGCTACGGGCATGGAAGGTGCTGCCTCCTGCTGCTTCCAGTCCTAAGGCGCTGGAAGGTGCCCAAGTGATGTCCGGAATGGGGTTTTCCGGACCTACAAGTCCCAGGTCAGGGAATGATTCCTCTCTGTAGCGCCTCCCTGGTGCTATAGGTTGGTCGGGATGTATCTTGTTCCAATCAATAGTGGCATGATACCACATTTCGGTATGCAGTATCTTGTCCTCTAGTGCAGAACCTAGTTCTGCAGCATTATATGCTTGTCCTTGCTCAGACGTGGTCCAATTTACATTGTACCGTAGTCGTCTGCTGGTCCATTCTAACATTTGCTGCCATGTTAGATCATATATTTGTCAGTCCATGAGCTCCTGTGCTTGAGCCCTGGACGAACTCGGGTGGGTCATTGGAGGGGCTTCTACCGGGAGGGGGCTCATCCTCCTGGAGCCATTGTTCAATGACCATCCCTGCTCTGGTCCAGGGATCTGACCTGTTGTTGTGATCGGGTGGGAAACCGATGACTTGGTACCTGGAGAATATCGTATATCCTGCATCCCAGTCATTGTTCCACTGCCATATGCCCCAGAAGTATTGGCAGTACTCATCCCAGATTTCCAGGGCGTCTTCACATCCCCAGATCCAGGGCCATAGCCCTCAGGGAGGGAGGAAACCTCCATCGTATCCGGCGGGTAAGAACCCTCCTTCTGGTGCAAGGAAGGGTTCAAGCTCGTCAGGGGGTTTTGCTCCCTTGTACTCAACTGTGGCCAGGGCTCTGAGGCGGCAGCAGATGGAGCAGTTGCAGTAGGGGTATGGGTGGGGAGAGGTCTGGTCAAGCTCCCTTGGGACTCGGCTCAGGAGGATGATAGGGTCCGGAAAGGGTTGGTCTCCGGCAAACCAGTCAAGGAGCCTGTCTCCTTCTGGCGTGTCTCCTGGGAAGATAACCCATTGTCCCCTGTTAATCGGGGATCCCAGGTGGGTGTAGTACTCTGGGAGCTCTTCATTATTACTGTCGGAGTACTCAGTGAATACGACTCTGTCAGATCCGTTTTCGACGGCATCATTGGTGGAAGTCTCTGAGATGTGGGTGAAGCAAGGCTCTGCGAACTCTCTAAGGTCAGCGATGGTGAAGAGGGTTGGTGGAACGACCTCGGATTCGGGTCGAGGGGAGGGCCAAACGAAGTCTGACTCATGGACGGACTCATCGTCCCACCAGGAAGGGGGCTCCTCCACTCAGTAGGTTCCATCGGGGGTGTATGACCTGAGAGAGGTTGGAGCATCATACCACTCCAGCTCAGGAGATTCATCTCTTCGATGTCCTCCTGTGTTGGGTATTCCCCATATCTCCCCTCGTTCCCAGGCAGGGAGGAACGGGTTTTCACCCTCTTCTGAGGTGGTTCTTCGCCGGGTTCGTCCATGGACGATTTGGTTGAATGCATCAATGTAGAACCTGCTCGTTCCCCTTCAATAGAGATGCTCTCCATCATCATCGAACCCTGGGATGGCTGCTGATAACTCTGTGGAGGAGATTGCTGACCCCCAGGAGTCATTGTCGTCGCCCCGGGTCATGGCATCCCAGGACCTGTCCGTATTGGTCCAGTACTCGATGGTAAACCTTGGGTCGACTCGGTCATCTCCGTTGTCTGGAGGGATGCCGAGTCGTCCGAGGTCTTCTTCCCGAAGGGATTCTTTGCCTTCACCATCTCAGTGATCCTCTCCCTGAAGCTCGAGCGTGGGGGGTTGCTCTTCTCTGTCAGGTAAGGGGTATCAAAGTGCGTCTCGCTCCCTCCCTGGCTGTGGTGTGAGGGACCAGAGCCAGACGGTACTTGTTGTTCGTGAGGTTCCTGTTGATGAGCCATTGAGCCTGTGTACTCTCCCTCTTCCGGGGGTCAGTGCTCTGTGGTGGCGAGTTGGTCAGAGGATATGAAGAACTGCGACTGCAGTTACTAGTGTCAAGATCCTGAAGGTACTTCTGAAGATAATGGCAGTGCAGTCTGAGGGGGTGAGTGGCATAAAGTTCGTTGTACCACAACGAATGTTTATGATCTCAGGGGACGGTGGGTGCTGTTTTAAATAATGGGCTGAAGGTCTCTTTCTCTTTGGAAGTATAACAGTGACTGCCTTGAAGTGGTACAGTTACCGTTTGACAACGGTAAGGGTAGTAAGGGCAAGCTTCGGCTAATTGTTAAGCACTAACTCAAACCTTTGCCAAAGCTGGTCTCTATCCTGTCACTCATGTTTGGTGATTCAGTGTTAGAGAGGCGTTGGTAGATTGCAAGAAGTTAGGCGTCACTTATAGCAAAAGCAAGGAGCTTGTAAGAGTTAGGAGTATATAACCTTAGCCGAAGCTGGGGTCCAAGGCCACAGCATAGGCTAGCTTAAATACATGTTAGACTCGTACTAAGAATAGTGTCTACAAGGGCGCGTGCAGCGAAAAGTGCGTTGTTCAACAAATGAGGAGTGAGGACACTAAAAGAAGGGTACTCCCGACGAATGAGAGTAAAGAGCGCATATCACCTGCATCTGCATGGGACTCTATCTGAATAGGCTGCATCCCGTAGACCGCCCTCAACTGGTGGTCGACTCTCATCCAACTACTAAGAAGCATGATGCCATCAAGAGAAGCATGATGATGCATGCGGGTCACTGGTCATCTGGGAGGTGGCAGCGTGAACTGGGGTGATGGCAGCCAGGTAACTGGGTAAGGAGTGTGCCAGCAGAATATCATGGGTCTGGGAGATAAGATAGGTAGGTCCAGGCTTCCGAGAGATGAGGATAAGATAAGATAAGGAAAATAGGAGTAAAACCATAATACCTCCAGTGTCAGAGGCATGTCCCATTGTTGCATTATGTTTCTGAAAGTCTTCAGTGCCGCACACCTGTCTTGCCAAGTGAAGAAGCGAGACTACAACCACAGGATTGTGCAGAAGGAACAATGGATTCTTTGGGGAATAGCTTGAGTATTGTATTCTGATGCTGGAGTCAAAAGTCGGCATCATCTTGAGTAGAGGTCTGCGCAGACCTTGTAAGGTATGCGTCGAGCCCTAGGAGTTCCAGCTGGAAGTTGAGCTCACAAAGCTCCCAAACAAGATGATGACCTCTTTCAACATCGAATGGCTGATCTAGAGCTGCTGGCGGTGCTCACAAAGCAATTTTTGCATCCGATGCTTGAAGGGCCATCCCCATCATCTCTAACATGATATCATGAGATTTGGTCAATTTGGTGCTTTCTTTCTTGAAAGGCATTGTTAGAAGTTCTCGCCAGACTTGAGGATGGATGGGTGTTGCATTTGAAGTGGATGAAGAGATATGATAAACAAGACCATCTCAGCAATGCTCCCACTGACGGAAGTAGGTGCTTTGACGAGTCGCAGATGCAAAGACAAGGAGTGCAGGGTCAGGAAAAGCATATCCTTTGTTGTAGTCCTGACTGTTGTTTGTGTTGGGTGAGCTCTGTGCACAATGGACTCCTTCTTCATGCTGTTGGGAGTGCTCTGAATTCTGATTGATGCTGACATTGGCAGTAGACCACATAGGTATCGGCAATGGGGCATACGTTCCGGACAGGTCAGCAAACTTGTCTCTAGCACTTTGAAGAGATTCTGGTTAATGGTATCAGTGAGGTTTGGGATCCATGGAACAGAGAATGTTTCTTACGAATCTTCCTTCTCTGCAAAGGCTGCTTGCCTGAAAGAGGACTGGATGCTCAAGTCTTGCCTCTTGTGTCACATATTGGACTGCCAGAGCCTGAAGGAGTGGCTAAACAGGAGGGAGAAGTGGAGACAGTCATAGGGGAAGATGCAGTTGAAAAAAGGAAGGGATTGCAATAGGTCTGGAAGATTTTCATGAAACGATGCATAGCATCAAATTTCTTGGGGTGAGACGGGTTACCTTCAAAAACGATGGGAAATGAAGGCTTGGGAATGGTGTCATTGACACTGAGAATGATTGGCTTCTTGGCTTTAAGGATGATCTGATTGATAAATTGTTCAGTTGGTTGGATGAGATAGACTGGGATGCCAGCTTTCATATGCTGCTCAGCAACATCAAGATTAAGTGTAAATGTGCCCATGAGACAATTGAAATCAAAACTATCATTGCGCTGAGCTTTGCTGTTCATCACTGGCTGATGAATCTCCATGTAGTTGAGCCCAGCAATGAGCTCCAACCAATACTGTTGCATTGCTGCTACTTGCACACGAATTGACATAGCATCTGTCATCACGGTTTCTGTTCAGTGGACCAAGGCCTCCAGACAGGTGCATCTAATGCTAAGAAACTCTCGAAATCCTTCAGAAAACAACTGGTTGTTCTGCACCAGAGAACAACGACCAGCAATGTATTGCAATGCCTGCTTGAACCATGCATGAATGCTTGCGTGAAGTAGACCGATGTGAGAAACATATCTGTGAGAGAACGCAATGTCACTTTGGGCAATGTCGTACCAGATTGTATCAAGCCACTGGTGGTATGGGTGGGACATATCATGAAGAGAGGGCTGATGAGGAACGACAGGAAAATGGCAAAATTTCTCGTCGAAAAATTGAGGAACATGGGTGGGGTCATGATGTCCAAATCGGCCATCTTCATACAAGCACACTTCATGCGTATTTGGGGGATGGGGGATGAACATATTGTTTGGTGTGGTAATGAAAACACATTCATCTTCTAGATAAGTCCCAACATGACCATTGTTTATGCTTAAATGCCCTGCAAGCATGTCAGAACAGCATTGATAGATGATAGTATTAGCCCACATACCTTTGTACTTTGAAGAAAACTTAGTAAGGTTGCCAAGTCACAGCTCAGGGGAGAATGACATTACACTATAGGTCAGATAGATGAACTTAAGAAATTCAGTTCATGTCAGAAGGTAAGAACATGTACCTTAATGTTCCTCAATTCAAAGTTCCTTGTTCTTCATCAAGTTAGGTGGGCAGAAAAGATGCACGTCACGTGTAATCTTTCCTATGTACCTGCCAATTCACATCTCGTGTATTGGCTACACAAATACTCTCATATTTTGTGCTCCAGGTACAGCCCAGTACCTTCGTTGTTCAGTTCTGAATTGGCTATGACCTTGTCAAAGGGCAATTGGATATTTAGTATTATAAAGAGGATGAGAAAGTGTAGAGAATGCAGGCTTACCTTGTTACCAAGACTTGTAGCTGATGCAGTGCCTAGCGAATGAGTTAGATGTGAAGTTGACTGGAAGACTAAGTTAGAATTTCCAGCATCAGACAAACCCATGCATCACATGTGGATTCTGACATCATCACTCAGTTAATTGTCACTGCCCCGATGTTGCCCTCATTGTCCTAGCTGCTGTACTTGGCCCTCTTCGTCTCACTCTTTCTCTTATTGTCTCCCTTTCCTTGATCTCAGTCTATAGCTCTTCTGCAAGGGTGTATTGACACGATGTCAATGCGGGGACAACATTTTGCATGATACAAAATGGTCCAGGACCCAGATTGTCTGACGGGATGTCAGATAATCCTCCTGCAGAAGTGTCTCTGAAGTCCACTGCAGATTTTATCTGGTGGCATCGAACATGGAAGACATCAATACGGGAGGATTTGGAGGCGACTGGATAAAGCTATGGTGCATTCCTTCATTAACTCCACCTCTTCACCTCAAACATTTCGTCAATTAAAGGCCAAGGCTACTCAATGTTTGGGATGAACCAGGATCCCTCTGTTTCTGATGAGCTTGCATTGAGTGCGCAATTCCATGGGGCATGGTTTGGAGCCAATACTTAGGCTTCTTTGGTGAGTTGGACCACATCAGGTGTCGCAGTGCCAGCACTGACCAATAATGATATTGAAGCTGTAATTCAGATCTTTAACGTGCACTTCATCCTACGGGCGAACAGGGCTTCCAAGAGATACTAGGATACAGTTATCTGTGGGGAACGTGGGTCTGCATATTGTTAATTCATGGACAAGTATCCACCCTGCCCTCAGCTAACTATTGTGTACAGTGGCAAGACTTGAAGGATATTTTCCGATGAGCTGAGACAGTATTGTTTCTCTCGGTCCAGACAATTGATCATGTGGCTATGGGACAGTTTTGCTTGCAGCCACTGAAGATGCTGGTTGAACTATTGACAACTTTAATGGTTATATCTCGCAGACTCGTATTCTTGACGTATGTCCAGATCATCTCCCTGACTTTGGCAACTCCACTGCAACCTCTGCCATTTCTTATCCTCCTCCTGATATCAATTCACTTTCACTGTATGGGTTAGGGCACCCTGCTTCAGCCGCAGGCAACGGTAGGAATTTATTTGTGGAATGTGCATCCTACCTATTTTTTCATCATCACTTTATCTGATAATACATATAAGATGCCATTCCACTACCAGTGAGACAAATTCGACGTATCTACACATTTCCTTGCCAAAAGGATACTTGGATCTCTCTGCATCCAGCACCCCTTATGAGTTCTATCCACCACAGCTGCAGATGTTCATGCTCACCCCCACTCTCACACACATCAGCCAACAGCACAGAAGGAATCCATTTGACCTCCCCTCTTGCTCCCTTCTTTGCATACTACATCATCTTCTGCAGCATCCTCTGCTGAGTCTACAAGAATCTTTGAAAGCAAACCCATCTAATTTCTCATCTGCAAAATCTTCCAATAACACTTCTTCGTCTGATTCAAGGGATGAGATTTTCTCTATGGGACCACCTTCGTCGCCTCCCATCTACCTTCATCCTGAATCATCCAGATATGCCCTTCAAAAGCCATCCAAATTTAACGTTGCAGGTCTGCTGAAAGATGCCTTCGGAAATGAGCATCGATGCTACCTCTGACAGTAATTGTCTCCATGATGTCAAGTCTACTGTGATGGCGCCTTCTGAGCCTTTGTGGCAGGGCATGGCTTGCCCTGTTTGGGCAGTGGATCTGACCTTGCGCCAGTACCAACACCAACACCATTGAGACAATGGCCCTGGAATGCCCCAGTGTGACCTTGCAGGCACTGACTTTTCAGCTAAGCAAGCAGGGGATGAAGAAGTTGATAGAGACATGCAGGTGATTACATCAGGACTTGAGCATCATCTGGAATAACGGTGAGGCAGCATGCTGATATGCCGTCTACGTGTTCACACCTAGATTTTGCAATTTTATAACAATACTGTTGCAGGTCTATCCTATACTAGTCGTATATCAAGGGCTATAGTTGAGACTTCAGACTGATAGTCAAATTAGCATGCTACTAGTCAAGTCAGAACTTAGGAATGATACCACTAGTGGGTCAGCCCTACCAGCCGACCAGACTAGCACCTCCAAAGCTAGTATGACTTAGTAAAATATGGTCGCTAGTAAAGAATACAGCTGCTAGTGCCCAAACAAGAAGTAAGAACCCACACAGATCTTGACTATTCAGTCACTAGTGGACCGATCTGGGCATGAACACCTAAGTCAGGATGACTAGTCATGCGAGCACTTCTGAAAGGACTTAGAAATGAACCAGTAAAGGCATAACCCTTAGCCCAGATCTGGCTAGTGTGATACAGATCTCATATGATCAGCACTAGTATAGCCGGGCTGCGCCCCAATCATGATCGAGCAGTTGCTACAGGCATGGTTACCTGACTATTCATATAGCTGTGTCACTAGTGGAGCACTGCTGGGCAAAGGGTGTGGGAATGACCCAATAGCGGAGTCCCTTGACCCACTATCCGACAGAAAGAACAGGCTAGGCCAACTATTGTGTGATTATTCACCATATTTCATGACTAGCCAAGACATCCTTACCAATATTACCTCTAAAGAATCTATTTATAATTATTCTGTACCTGTCTCTGTAGTATATAAGTAGTAGAAGGGGCAGCCTCACAAGCAGGCAAGCCATCCCCACAATTGTGACCTACTAGTCCATATTCTAGTGCCCCAATTAAAGGCTTTTGTGCTTAACCTCGATGAAGTGCCTACTAGTCGCTTAGTCACCTATAGTATTGAATGAATTGAAGTGTCTTAAAGTTACTATTCCATCTTGGAGTGACTCAGAGCATTTCAAAGTTAGTTAAAGTATTTTCTCAGAGTTAAAGTATTTGTTCTTAGGCCAAGAGTGCCACTAGTCGAGCCTAGGGTGCTGCTAGTCAAGTGTAGACTGCTTGTGAGACCCAGTATTTGGTCCAGAGTGCCACTAGTTTCAAAGTATCAGAGTTAGACCAAGCACAGTTGCTCAACCCAAGTCACTATTCATCCAATCATGTCTTAAAATCCCA